TTGTTATAAACAGTCTTCTAGTGCTTCGGATCTCATTAACTGTTTAATAATTGGAAACAAAGCCGCCAAAGATTGAGAAAAGATGTACAGGTTCGTAAGTGCTTTCGTGAATCTGGCCCCAGGAGTCAGGAGACCGAGAGGCCAATGTACGATGGAGGGAAACTACCTCCCTATAACGACAACAGAAAACGACCTGGGAGTGAACACAGCACCAAACCTGACTCCAGAGGGTCACATAAAATAGAATAACCTTATGAACAAATCCACACCTAAGCCTCATACTCTTGTCTGGCAAAAGCTATAACATCCTTCAGAAACTTGAATAAGGAGGCCTTTAGATCACTGTATACCGTCTATGAGAGGCCAGTCTTGGTGTATGCCGCCTCATCGTCGAGCCCCATCTAAAAAACAAAACATAAGGAAGCTCAGATGGGTGCAGAAGTTCGTAACGAGACTCATCCCATAGTTGCGAGGGTTGAGGTATGAAGAGAGACTGAAGGAACTAAACCTGCCGACGCTAGAAAGGAGGAGGTAGAGGGAGGGACATGATACAGTCGTATAAAATACTTTGGAATGACAGGGTGGAAAGAGAGGAAATGTTTACAATGAATATCAATAGAACAAGAGGGCACGGATGGAAGCTTGAAACTCAGATGTGTCATAGAGATTTTATAAAGTTTATTTTAGTGTAAGGTTAGTGAGCAAATGGAATGACCTAAAAGAGCAGGGTGTAGAGGTAAACACAATTCACAACTTTAAAAGCACGTATGATAGGAAAATTAGGTCAGGGAGCCGGTCGGCTGAGCGGACAGCACGCTGGACTTGTGATCCTGTGGTTCTGGGTTCGATCCCAGGCGCCGGCGAGAAACAATGGGCAGTTTCTTTCACCCTATGCCCCTGTTACCTAGCAGTAAAATAGGTACCTGGGTGTTAGTCAGCTGTCACGGGCTGCTTCCTGGGTTTGGAGGCCTGGTCGAGGACCGGGCCGCGGGGACACTAAAAAGCCCCGAAATCATCTCAAGAATCTCAAGAAGGAGTCATTGCACTGGACAACCAGCGGCTAGAAAAGCGAGCTCAAAGGGCTAGAGCTCCATTCTACAGGCACAAATAGGTAAGTACACACACACTGTTAAAAACGATAGTGCCTGACCACGAACTCAGATTTGAGAAAACAAAAGGGAAGCTCTCAGAAAATGACAAGGAGGTATGCGAGGAACTCAACAAAAGAGGTCAGGTCTTTTTTTTTACATTAGACCCAGCATAAAGATCAAGATTGCAAGATGAAAGGCCCGAGGAAATACTGGATGACACTGTAATCCCTGTGGAAGAGGTGGACAAAATCTTTGGGGGGCCAGACCTACTCTCACCATGGCTGCTGAAGGAGGGTGCGGACGAACTCTGCCATCCGCTGTTTCACGACATGATAATGGTCATGAACGGTCCGAAATGTTGCCGTGTCTACATTTTCTGATGTGTGGTTTAGTCAACAACGTAACTTAACCTAACCTAATCTAACCTTACCTAACCCAACCTAATTCAACATAATCTGACAAGATAACCTAACCTAACCAAACCTAGCATAATATAACCTAATCTAACAAGACCTAACGTAATCTGACCTAACCTAACCTAGCATAATCTAACCTAGCCTATTCAAACATAACTATGCCTAACATATTTGCTCTTTTCTAACACACTGGCAGCTCTCCCTTATTCACTGAAGAGTTGAATACTAAAGTAAGAGTTCATAACAATGTTTCATATGTTGGACCAGCACCTCAAGGTAAGCTCTCACAAGTCAAACCTGGTCTGCGGGCCGCTCCAAGCAACAGCTTGTTGAACCAAGCTCTCACAAGTCAAGCCTGGCCTCAGGCCGGGCTTGGGGAGAAGAAGAACTCCCAGAACCCTAAGAAGCAGGTATATGCTAGAGTTAATTTCAATATTGGAATTTCATCTGTGGCTTTCATCCTTCCCACTTCCTCCAGTCTCAGGGTAGGTCAAGTTCCAACTTGAAATCTGGGTGGAAATTTTTATTGAGTACTTTGTAAACATTTCATTCTTGGTGTGAGCTCCTTCTCTTTCATGTAGCGTGATCACTTGTTATTCTGATATACATATTTATCTTGAGGTAGTTATGCAGCAGTTTACGTCAGTTCTTGGCTTTTGGTGCTATGTTATTCTCATATTGCTTCTTCACCCCTTTTCCTAATTCCTACATATACTCGGTGCTTTCTGTTTTATAAAAATTTTCATTCATTTCGACTCTATGTATTTCTTTCATACAAGTTTGCTTTCCTATTTTGTCTTCACGTGTAAAAAGATCTGGCTCGTCTTGATTGTTCAGTCTCTTAATTAAGGGTAGTTTGAATGTGTTTCTTTCAATTTTCGTGGACTATACAATACAATACAATGTTTAATAAAGTGAACTTGTGTGTTTAAAGGACATAGAAGTATTGTACAAGTTGTAGGAACAGAAGCTACACAATCTATGAAGCCACTATTACGCAAAGCGTTTCGGGCAAAAACAGAAAACAAATTAAGAAATTGGTGAGGGAGTAAGACAATACTAAAGACAAAAAATAAGTTAACAGAGTGAGAACGTTCATGGAAAATAAGAAATGAATGCAATAAAGGGGATACTTATGGATGACAGGAATTGACTATTACAATATTGGGGTCAGTAATTGTAGCAATAGTAAAGTAGTTTATTTACATTAATAACAGAATGGAAATACGTTCAACGTCCTCCCAGCAAGCATAAGAAATATATGCCGGAACAACCGTGGACATTTTCAAGAGGAAACTAGATTTATTCCTCCAAGGAGTGCCGGACCAACCGGGCTGTGGTGGGTATGTGGGCCTGCGGGCCGCTCCAAGCAACAGCCTGGTGAACCAAACTCTCACAAGTCAAGCCTGGCCTCGGGCCGGGCATGGGGAGTAGAAGAACTCCCAGAACCCCATCAACCAGGTATCAACCAGGTATCAACCAGGTACAGGACGTAGTTTAGAAGAGCCACTGGACTTTTTTTTCATAACATTTTGTTTGGAACATAACAGAACATAGAGTAATATAGTAATTTAAAGTCAATGAGGCCAACACTAAACATGAACAAGGGAACATAAAGAACTTGAGTAAACACCTTAACACAGAAATGTAAAATATTTTGTCTTTTTCTCTGAGTTTTCTGACCCAAGGATAGTACACTCTATAGGTGTACTATCGTCCTCCTTCGTGCTATTCCATCTTCCTATACATCTCAATGTCACAAGATGTTCAAAAACTAATTCGCCGCAGTCACTGACTTCCATCGGTACTTGAAGTTCGAAGCTCCATATATCAAATGGATATTTAATGGATATATATAGCTCCATCTTCCCATCTTTCTATGGGAAGATCTGGTATAGCATTAGTTACTGATCTAAACCCTTGTGTATGTCTTCACTTTGGCATGTTGTGTGTAGAAGTGGCTTTATCCAACCTCTGCCAGCTTTCGTCTCCATGTCTCTTCTCTCGAGTCTAATATTTCCCCAGTCAATTTCGTCGAGATTAAAGTCCCCCATAACTTGCAGATTTCCTGGCAGTGTCTGTGTATGTAGACTGTTTTCTACCCCCCGTGGTGGATATTGGTGCCATCCTGATTCACGTTTTCATGTATATGTATGAAGGAGCTTCTGGGTCTGTCTAAATAATTGTAAGGTAAGGTAGTTATCAGGAGAAAGCACTAAGCCATTACGACTATGTAGCTCTCGGAATGGGTAAGGATTTAGGATAGGGTGGAAGATAGGAATGGTTTGCATATCAAAGGCAACGCAAATTTTGATTTGATCTTTCCGTTAAAAAGATTGGTTATGACATTTTTCCTCAATTTAGCGAGCTTCCTTGCGTATTTCTAGCTTATATTTTAAGTTTGTCTAATGTATTCTCTCAAATATAGCAAATTTTTTGTATTAATGTTATTCTAAATTTCCCTCAATTTGTGTAATTTGCTCCATTATGTCTCTTCACTCCAATTGTGAGAGAGAGAGAGAGAGAGAGATAGAGAGAGAGAGAGAGAGAGAGAGAGAGAGAGAGAGAGAGAGAGAGAGAGAGAGAGAGAGAGAGAGAGAGAGAGAGAGAGAGAGAGAGAGAGAGAGAGAGAAAGAGAGAATGAGAGAGACATATTCCACAAATTGCTCAAGAATGTTTCTCATGTTTGTGTCGTAGGGCTTAGTGGGTAATAGTCTCAAAAAGCCTTGCTCTGATAGACGGATGAGAGGCGAGACCAAGGAGCCAGAGCTCAACCCCCGCTAAGCACATATAGGTGAGTACAAATAGGTGAGCACACACACACACACACACACACACACACACACACACACACACACACACACACACACTACAGGGGCCTGGTAGCCTGGTGGATAGCGCGCAGGACTCGCAATTCTGGGGCCCGGGTTCAATTCCCGCACGAGGCAGAGACAAATGGGCAAAGTTTCTTTCACCCTGAATGCCCCTGTTACCTAGCAGTAAATAGGTACCTGGGAGTTAGGTCAGCTGTCACGGGCTGCTTCCTGGTGTGTGTGTGTGTGTGATGTGGAAAAAAAAAGTAGTTAGCAAACAGTTGATTGACAGTTGAGAGGCGGGCCGAAAGCGCAAAGCTCAACCCCCGCAAACACAACTAGGTGAATACACACACACACACACACACACACCTTATTTCATTATTTAATAAGCTTTTCTAGACAAATATACAAAAATGTATGGGAAAATATGAGTTTTTTGTAAAGGTTTCGCATTGCCTCCAGAACTCTGTTAAAGACAGAATGAGGTAGTTAGGTTGGAGGCAAAGAGTACGGTAAGCTCTTAACGAGTTCTTAATGTGCAAATATGCAACACGAGAACGACAAGTGCAACAGTTTGAGAACTGCAGAATGATGAGAACAACAGGAGAAAGACGCCGCGACATTCTACATGGCCTTAGTAACCTATTGTGTGGCTCCAGTATTGTGTCAGAACTTACTCTCTCCAGTTCTTTCTCCATATCCCTGTCCTCCTTAATGGGCGAGACTGAGGAGAAAATCTTTGGGTCCGACATTTGGCGCCGGTGGCCTCTTCGGCGGTGGTTCCTCGGGGAGGAGTTGGCCGACCCCGTGGTATTGCTCGTGCCAGAAGTCATGCCCAGACGACGTTGAATTTCCATTCTAAAAATCGAAAACAAAATGACACATGCATATTATATGGTACGTACACACACACGTACACACACACACACACACACTGCCGTCTCTGGAAGCTGAACTACGACACTAATTTGCTCTAAGGTGAAAGTTCACTCAATTTGGAGCGGTATGAGAAGCACACCCACTAGTATTTCCTGATTCGGCACTGTGCTTGAAGGTCGACACTCACGCTGAGACACGCTGGTGTCCATTATGCAAGGAAGAATCCTTAAAAGAAGTCCTGTTGACGTGTTACATCAGGATATCTGAGTGAAGGTTATATGTCTCAGTTGCGTGTCTACCTCCTAGTTAGCTTGCAAGCATGACAGAGAAGGGAGCAAGCATGCTTCATTAAGGTAGTCTCCAGGTCCCAGTTCGTCTTGCTAGTCGAAGTACAGCAGCCGACTGAGACTGGCAATGAAACAGCTTGGCGATAAGGAGGAGGAGAAGATTTATAAGCGTGGCAATTCTAAGCAAGGGCAAAGGACCAGTTTAGTCACTCTATTCTTTATCCGGTCCTTCTGAATCGAAGCCAAATAGTTGCTATGTTCTTTTACTACTTAAAAAACAAATAGTTAGCAATGGGGGGTAAACTAAATGATAAAAAGGCAGCCCAAACTGGTCATTTTCCCGGGATGGGTGGAACAAACCTCTGCTTCAGCGAGAGCGATCCGGAGTAACTAGAGGACGCAAGACGGTCGAGCTCACGACGAAGTCGACCATCCCTCTCCTTGTCCTTCTCCGTCAGGGCCCGTCGGCGGTCCTCATGCAGCCGTAGGAGCTCCGCCTCTAGCATGGCTCGCCTGTCGTTGCTGCTCGACTTGAGCTCCTCCTGGAGTTGGTCCTTCAGGCTCTGCATGTACTCAGGGAGCTGGCGGGACCGATACAAAGGACCTGAGCATTCCGGCATGCAATCCAGATGGTATACGATGCTAACTCACAAACCCTCTAATTGTCACATAACAAAACATCCCTGTTTTAAAAACATGCTAAAATATGTCCTGTATTCATTGTTTTGGAAAGATATATATATATATATATATATATATATATATATATATATATATATATATATATATATATATATATATATATATATATATATATATATATATATATATATATATATATATATATATATATATATATATATATATATATATATATATATATACATATATATATATACATATATATATATACATATATATATATACATATATATATTTATTTATTTATCAACGTGCACACTGCAAAGCCAAAAAAAAATAAAATCTAATGAAAATATTATTGTCTTATTGTTTTTTTCAGGGTCGTTAAAAAGAGCTGATGATCTATGTCTACATCAAACCACTGAGAGTGGCGGACTCCCACTCACAGCCGGCAAGCATAGGACTGAAGGGAACTGCAAAAAAAAAAAACCCTAACTTCTGGCACGAACGTAGCAAGCTTTAAAAATGATTTAATAAACACCATGTACAAGAACCCATCTCCTTACCTCAACCATGGTCGATATTTGGCAGATGTGTATATATATATATATATATATATATATATATATATATATATATATATATATATATATATATATATATATATATATATATATATATATATATATATATATATATATATATATGTATATATCTGTTCAGGAAACGTTCCCTGGCTTCCATACGGTAATACATATGTTTAAATATAGTCGCCTTTGTAGCAGGTGTATTTCGGTAGTATATCGGAATATTATATGAGAAATATTATATCGTAAATGTCATGAGAAATCTCATACACAACCATATTACAAACACAAATGTGTGTAATAAATAGAGCAACCCATAGTAAGAAAAATTATACATTTAATTTCGGAAGATTAAAAATTTAATACGATATCCACACCACACATCAGAAAAAAAGGAAAAACGACGACGTTTCGGTCCGTCCTGGATCATTATCAACTCCATACTGGTCCAGGACGGACCGAAACGTCGTCGCCTCTTCAATTTCTCAGGAATAATGTCTTCAGTCACGTATTGCAACTCACCATTTGGTCACCACTTGGTCCGGGAGACATCTCCCGTCACGCAGGGTGCAGTTGCGCCTCCACAGATCTCCAGTATCATCTTTTGATACTGGTAATGGCTCGAAAGGGCCACCACTTACGGGCTATTCATGCCCGTGCCACCTCTTGGGTGGCTTAATCTTCATCAATCAATCAATCAATCATCGTCTCTTTAAATACTTAATACACAATGAGCAAACAATCCACACCTTGCATTCAACCAAAAAAAAACTTAAATCTCATTATAATACGCTAAGATTCGCTTATTTACACACACACACACACAAGCAAAGATACGCATGTTTATACGGTATGATACGACTATTTACAAACACGCAAAGTTACGCATGTTAACACACGCGCTTATGAACCCCATGAACTCAAAACCCCATTCACTGCTAGCTGAACTGAGTGAAAGAACTGGTTGAAATAAATGGTTGCAGGTACTGAGTGAAAGGAAACAAATTAGTGAAAAAACTGGGTAAAGGAAAAATATAAGGATTGGGAGTACCCAAATCATAGGATTGAATCCTGCTCTCAGCTCCTAGTGATTTTTCTCGTTGATACGATATATCATGTTCTTTGTGCCTGAGGGAAGGCATTGGGTGTAAGGATTGAGTGAAGGAACTGACAAAAACTGAGTAAGAAACTTATTGAAGAAACCGAGAGAGAGAGAGAAAGAGGAAATGAGTGAATGAACTGAGAGGAAAACAGAGAGAAGGAAGTAAGATAACAAAAACTGAGAGAAATGAAAGAAAGGAACAGAGATAAAATGACCTTACTGAGGAAACTGACTGAAAGAACTAAATAAAGGAACTGATACCAATGAACTGGGTGAAAATGAGTAATGGAGTAATCAAATTAGATATGTTCTCGAACATTAATTGACATTATAAATTATAATTGGGTGAATAACTTAACCTAGGTTAGGTTAGGTGTTTAGGTTCCGTTGGCAATTAGACAAAAAAAAATTGCTTTTGTAATACGTGGACAACCTGTCCTTAGTGTAGGCTCGTTAAAGCTGCAGCTGTTCTCTGTCCCCCCCCCCCCTCCCAATTTATATATGAGAACAAATCTATTTTTAATACCCTATACGTTAAATTTATGAATGCGTCCAGGGAGCGAGGTCCCTAGACGCATTCATGAATTTAACGTAAAGTGTATTAAAATAGGTTTGTTCTCATATATAACTTTACTGTATTATTCTTTAAAATTCTTTGTATAGTTCGGAGTTGATTAGGTTCCAACCTAATTCACAGGTTAGAGTCGTTCTGACGGCTGCTGAAACAAAGATGCGTTCAATCATTTTAACGCATAGCGTACTCAATGTTTCTATTTTTATCAAATATAAGTTAATGTTATTCATAGTAAAATGTGTTGAATAGTTATGCCTAACTTAGGTTAGTTTAGGTTAGGTGTTCAGGTTCTCTTGGCGTTTATTTGTAATTGCAACCCGTTCTCAGACCCGGTTCATTCTATCCAGCGGTCGACCCCAAAGACCCATTCATCAATTTTAACATACTGTTCATTCAAAACAGGAATTTTCTCATTATATAAATTAATATTATTTTATATTAGCATATTGTGCATACTTAGGCACTGGTTAGATTATGTGTTTAGGTTCTGTTGGCGATTATTTGTATTTGTAGTACGTAGGTGAAGCATTTACAGCGTTGTGGTTCGAACAAAATTCGTCAGTGAAGCACTTGTTCCGGAAGTGTTCGGACGTCATCAGTTGTGAGTCGTGTGTGTAAACCGTTTTTCATTCATAAAAAGGGGGGGTTTGGCGGGTGGATGGAATGGACTTTGGGCCTTTGTTTAGAGGACGGGCTGGTAATTGCAGCCCGTTCTCCAAACAAAGACCCAAAAGTGATTCCATGCACCCGCCAAACCCCCTGTTTATGAATGAAAAGCGGTTTACACACGACTCACAACTGATTTTGTTCGAACACTTCCGGAACAAGTGCGTCACTGACGAATTTTGTTCGAACCACAACGCTATAAATGCTTCACCCACGTACTACAAATACAAATAATCGTCAACAGAACTTAAACACCTAACCTAACCTAACCTAACCTAACCTAACCTAACCTAACCTAACCTAACCTAACCTAACCTAACCTAACCTATACCAATATATGAATAATATGCTAATATATTATAATATTAATTTAAATTTGAGAACACTACACTACACACAGAAATCACAATAGCGTGATGTATCAAATGAACAAATCCACAAGGGCCGTGACGAGGATTCGAACCTACGTCCGAGAGCATCCCAGACGCTGCCATAATCGACTGAGCTACGACATGGTAAATATCGTAGCTCAGTCCATTAAGGCAGCGTCTGGGATGTTCTCGGACGTAGGTTCGAATCCTCGTTACGCCCTTTGTGGATTTGTTCATTTAAATTTGAGAAAATTCCTGTTTTTAATGAACAGCATGTTAACATTTATGAATGTGTCTGTGGGGTCAACCGCAGGATGGAATGGACTTGAGTCGAGGATGGATTGCCCTCTGATGAAAATTAAAATGACAACTAGTCTGCTGCAACATGACATGATATCTCGCTACTGTTTAATGACATGATATCTCGCTACTGTTTAATGACATGATATTGATGTAGTATGAGGATCCATCTTGCAAGCAGGATTCAAGACCTCGGACCTGCTCGGAATATACAATCCTCGCTCCCTCCCCCCCCCCCCTTAAGGCAGACCCAATCCACTGGTTGTCTCGTTAATATCCACCCCTCTACCCCCCCCCCCCACCACCACGAAAACTAACAACAATACTGCCCTCCTGCCACGGTGGTTAATACCGTGACTACTCCGTGTGTCGTTGAACGTGTCCGTCGTTAAATGAAACGGTGATTTGTATCGTTTTTACTCTTAAGAATCAGAGGGAGATACCTGAGAAGGTCCATGAAGAGCTTAACGTGTGTGTTGTGCCTTAATTACGGACTTGAATGATCCTCGTTAGACGTATAGTGGTGAACAGAATGATCATAGCGTGAGGCCCCTGTGATAAATCGCTTCGGTAAATCAACAGGATTTCGCGTACACGCGATCAAAGTGGGATGATGCGACTAAATAACACGAAGTGAGTTTAATGTGATGTGGCCGAAAAGTGAACAATAAGCAAGTGTACCGTGTCCTTCCCGTCCTTTGCTTAGCCCATGATATAACGCCCCAGGACGGCGTAGAATCACGCCAGAACTCGACCAACCTCACCTCGTGATTCATCCGGAGTTGAGCGTTTGACGTCCGGACGCTTCATAAGGTAAGAATTCAACGGGGGAATTGTTTCCTTGGAAGTGAAGGGGGGGGGGGAGACGTTTCCAGGAAGAAGAAATTCAGTGAGGCAGAGATCGGTACTTGGATCTCCGCGTCTAGAGTCGAATCTATGCACCCTAACCTAACCGACCGTTGACTAATGCCCCGCCCTCAAACTTAATTTCCCGTGTTTACGTCTGGAAAATAAAAGCAAAAATATTTTGATATTTTGAAGAGGCACAAAAAACATTGAATGTGTTAATTTCTGTGCATTAGTAACGTTCAGCGTGGCTAAACTATGCTCGTTCAAGCGGTTAGCGACCCCAAAGAAGCAATTATCAATTTTAAAACGCTAATGTATAATTTATATTATACATACGCTAAAACGATAAAATATGTATAAAATATGTATGCCCAAGGTTGAGTACTACACTCAGGGTTCAGCACCACACTCAGGGTTCAGCACCACTCAGGGTTCAACACCACTCAGGGTTCAACACCACTCAGGGTTCAACAACACTCAGGGTTCAACACCACTCAGGGTTCAACACCACTCAGGGTTCAACACCACTCAGGGTTCAACACCACTCAGGGTTCAACACCACTCAGGGTTCAACAACACTCAGGGTTCAACACCACTCAGGGTTCAACACCACTCAGGGTTCAACACCACTCAGGGTTCAACACCACTCAGGGTTCAACACCACTCAGGGTTCAACACCACTCAGGGTTCAACACCACTCAGGGTTCAACACCACTCAGGGTTCAACAACACTCAGGGTTCAACACCACTCAGGGTTCAACAACACTCAGGGTTCACTGATATAATCTCAAAGAGCTAGTTTCCATAAAGGTTCATTAAGACTTCGTAAGCGTCACAATAAAGGTTTGTTGCTGAAGTACTGCTCATGGGGGTCACTCTAGTGTAGTGTAAACAAATATTTATTTTCGACTCTCATATTCAACAAATGGGAGGCTCCAGCAGACGAGGCTCCCTCCTATTCAACAACTAGGGGCTCCAGAAGGTACGGGTCCCTGTTATTCAACAGGTGGCGTTGGGGGAAGGAGGAGGGGGTTCCAGAAGATGGGGCTTCCTGTTTCTCAACAACTGAGGGGTTCCGGAAGATGGGGCTCCCTGTTTTTCAACAACTGAGGGGTTCTGGAAGATGGGACTTCCTGTTTTTCAACAACTGAAGGGTTCCGGAAGATGGGACTCCCTGTTTTTCAACAACTGAGGGGTTCCGGAAGATGGGGCTTCCTGTTTTTCAACAACTGAGGGGTTCCGGAAGATGGGGCTCCCTGTTTTTCAACAACTGAGGGGTTCCGGAAGATGGGACTCCCTGTTTTTCAACAACTGAAGGGTTCCGGCAGATGGGGCTCCCTGTTTTTCAACAACTGAGAGGTTCCGGCAGATGGGGCTCCCTGTTTTTCAACAACTGAGGGGTTCCGGAAGATGGGGCTCCCTGTTTTTCAACAACTGAGGGGTTCCGGAAGATGGGGCTCCCTGTTTTTCAACAGCTGGAGGTTCCAGATTCACATCGCTGCCTCAAAACACACCAAACGATTATTGTTTGAGTAATCCTCCATTTTGATTTAATCTTTCATATGCGGCTTAAAACTGTTATCCAACGTACGTTATTAAAGTTTCCAAATCGCTACCGTTTCTGCACATGAGCAGGCGACTTCTGACTCCTGTTAGCGGCCTGAGAGCTTTCGTAACCCCCATAGTTCATGGTAAGCCTTATCCTACTAGGTTTTCCTTGGAACACGACCCGCCAATCGGTTAACATCCAGGTACCCAGTTACTGCTGAGTAAATAGGGGCGAAGAATGTGAGTATTAGGTGGCAAGTCAATCCTCCATGGCCAGGAATCGAACCCATACTACTTCGGGTAGCGTGTGTTATTTTTCCACCCATCCTCCCGTATAAAGTGAAATCCAACATTCGTAAATACTTCGTTCATTTGGTTTCTCGGTGGCGGTAATTATCTGAATGCTCCTGGAAGGCTGATGGCTTGAAGAGGGTTAAAAGGCACTTCCCACTTTCCTTGGTGTTGGCTCAGGCTACCGACGAGCTGGCGATCTCCGCTATACCCTTCCTGGCCTCTGTGTACACTACTGTAACAGCGGAAGAGCGCTGGTGTGGTGCCAGCAGGCAAGTGGCCGCCCCCACGATATCTCCAGTTAGGCGAAGATCCGCAATGACTAAAGAATCGTGATTGGCCGTCCATAAAATCAAAACATTGCTACGACTTTACACAGGAAATACTATTTTAAATGGCGTATTTTTGTATGTGTAAGTGACTACAAGAGCATCACTTGGCGGCCCCCGTTACAGAGAAGGTCGTGGAGAGAGTGAGAGAGTGAGAGAGTGAGAGACTGAGAGAGAGAGTGTGTGTGAGGTACAAAGCCACCCACCTGGGATCCGTATGTGTCGCCGAGGGCGGGAGGCTGGGTGTTGGTGTAGATCAGGTGGTGAAGATCCGGAGGGAGACACTGGACTATGGTGGCTGGCAGACCCGTCTTCAGCTGTGGACCCGACAGGCTCGAGCTCCGAAGCCCCACACTAGGGTGCCCTGTCCCCATAAAAAAATACGCCGTTACGCTAACAGCTTCAAACTAATTTACGAATTTATATATATATATAATATGTATACAAACCATGTATACACATGTGTAACTAGGCCTAGCAATGGCTCACCGGGTTTTCTCTATCTTCGTGGGAGTTATTACAAGGTACCTTTGGTTCAAAATATACAAAAAGTATAATATGTGTTAAATGAATGAATGAATATGATTTTTTTTCCTTCAGGAAGTCATTACCAAGGAACTTGCTCAATTCAGCAACTCTGCCTAAAAAGCACCACACACACACACACACACACACACACACACACACACACACACACACACACACACACACACACACACACACACACACACACACACATAAAGAGGCCTCGCGGCTCAGTGAACAACGCTCCGGGATCGTAGTCCTAAGGGCCCGGGTTCGATTCCCGGCCGAGCTAGACAGCCAAATTGCTATCGAAGTATATAAATTAACGTAAATATAAATTCATATAAATTAAATAAATATAAATCTCACAGGTCGGTTCCCACATTATTTGGTCCTTCGAACCGGATGACGGATTATTTGATCCTTTGAACCCACATTTGGTCATCTTAGTACCGGATGAACCAGTTAACCAGTGGATTCATTAAATAAACTAGTGCAGTGTTATTTAAACAAAGCCAGCCAGTCAAAGACAGCGGCGAAGCCTCGTGGGAGCTCAGGAGCCTCCCTCAGCCCAGTTCAGCTTCGTCAGCGGTTTCATGCACACCCACAGATATTTGGTGGCGTGTTATTTCGTGAAATGACAGCGCTAATATAGAATCCAGCCAAATTAGTGACTGTGTCTTCGCGAGATTGTTCACGGATTTCGTGGTGTTACATTTCGCGAGAGATTATCTACGAATTTTGTGGACTTTATTTCGCGAGGTCACTAATAATATTTAATACTTCTAGATAATATTATGGAACGAACTACTTCCTAGGGCTGTGTGTGTGTGTGTATGTGTGCACGCGCATGGTTAGAAATATATGTAATAAATATAATAGAGGGAAGAATATATTGGTTAGAAAGGCGGGGTCCAAGAGTTAATAGCTCGATTCTGTAGACACAAATAGTAAATACAGATAGTAAATAAACACACATACATACACGCCTGGAGAGTTTCTGGTGGGTCTGGAACATGTTTAATATAAGAAAATCAGCATAGGAGCCTTGAGAGGGGGATTCGAACCAGCACATTTGATACTCCCAAGCTATAGCGGCCCCCTAGACCACCACACGGTAAAAAGCAAATGCAATTTGGGATTCGGCTGAATCCACTAGGGATCCTCAGGCTCCCAACCGTAACACAAACTAGGAGTTTCACATATCGAAAGGGTCCCTCTAGCTTGGTGGTGAGGCAGTTCATCTCCAACACTTCTCGCTAAATGCACAAAATATTGTTCATTTGGAGTTTGCTTTTGTGCGAACAGTTCCACTCATGAACAATCAATAGACTTTTTTTTTAATTCACTTAATAAAGGCAAAAATATTGAAGCAATTTCGGAGTTTCGCTCCGAAATTTGTACGTGTTTTGAGCATTGCTAAGTAATTGTCGTAGACCAAAGTAATCTAAACTTGATTTGACAGTCTCCGTGGTGTAGTGGTAAGACACTCGCCTGGCGTTCCACGAGCGCTATGTCATGGATTCGTATCCTGGCCGGGGAGGATTTACTGGGCGCAATTCCTTAACTGTAGCCTCTGTTTAACGCAACAGTAAAATGTGTACTTGGATGAAAAAACGATTCTTCGCGGCAGGGGATCGTATTCCAGGGACCATAGGATTAAGGACTTGCCCGAAACGCTACGCGTACTAGTGGCTCTACAAGAATGTAACAACTCTTGTATATATCTCAAAAAAAAAAAAAAAAAAAAAAAACTCTCGAGGTTTTTATTTTTTATTTCTTTAGCATTGTTAAAAAGCACTCTAGCGCCAATTCCACGCCTATTATATTACCCGGTAATTGATTTCAAATATCAACAACCCTATTTACAAGCCAGTATTTACCCAGATCTTTCCTGGATTTAATCTTATCCAATACTTATCCATTGTTTCGTGCTCTATTTTTGTGTTGGTATATTTAAAATCTTATTGATATATTTTTGTTGTAATACCCTTTTATCCATTTAAATTGCTTTAGTAAAGTCCCCCCCCCCCTCTCAGGGTCACTATTGTACCATAATTGAACAACATACCAGTATTTACCCAGGTCAGAAAAGACCCGGGGTAAATACTTGCTCTGAGACACGGGTGTTGATATATGTGACAAATTACCGGGCAGCATAATAGAATGGGAACCGCTGGATAGTTTCAAGCGAAGGTTAGACGTATATATGAGAAAGAGTTTGGGGGGCGATACTCAGGAGCAGCCTAGCATGGACATGGAACCTTCTACAGCTTTCTTTATTCCTATGTCTTAAGAAATAATAATAAGTGCGTAGCATTTCTCGTATAAATCAATAAAGTCCTTTAAATTTCGTAAATTCAGTAAATTATAAATGTACAAACATTTATGAATACAAATTGTGGATTGATTGACAAATAAAAACACGAACCAAGACGCACAGATTGAATAAACTTAGGTTCAGAAAAGACCTGGGGTAAATACTGGTCTTTTTTATATTTACCAGGGTAAATACTGGTCGATAATAACATTTTTATGTAACAAGGTACCGAATTATAGAACAGACGTAGGGGGGGGGGGATATGATTATTCCTTAGGCAAGACATAAATATGTGCGTTTGGGAGCTGCCGCCTTGCTCTGGCCAAGAGCTCTCTCTTGGCGGAGGTGGGACAGTTTCTTACGCTATAACTGTCAAATATGTTCAAATTTATATTTTAAGCTTTAATAGTTGTAAAAATTGAGAAGTGTGGGTATGCTGTCACTCTAAGTTTTGTATAGCATTGACGAAGGCTTAACGCTTAAGAGTTATGCTGATGAAGCATTATATACCTTGGCCCTCGAATATACCGATATGCGCTTCTACGTCTTTTTTAATATGAATATTTTGTATGCCACAATCGAAACCCCGTATAATTGACCCCATTACTAATTTCCGACAGCATATTGTTAGGGATGCCAGAGTGGGTGCCGGTCACAACATTTGGCCCACCTGTCTGGGTCAATTCGGCATAGGGAGGATGAATGAGAACGGGTAACGTCTGCTAGAACTCTGCTGCCTTCATGGTCTCTATATCACCAACATGTTCTTCGGCACAAAGCCTCAACACCGAGTATCTTGGAGACACCCTAGATCCAAGCACTGGCACCAGCTTGACCTGATTCTTACCAGGCGTGCAAGTCTACCCAGCGTCAAGATTACGCGTAGCTACCAGAGTGCTGTCTGTGACACCGACCACTCCCTGGTGTGTAGTAGGGTCAAGATGCAACCAAAGAAGATTCATCACTCGAAAAAGGCGGGCAGACCTCGCATCGACACCACCAAGACCCGCAACCAGGACACGGTGGAAGATTTTGCATGTGTGCTCGAAGAAGCTCTCCCTGGCCCAGCTGGGGTCACTGTCTGTAAAATTGGGAGCACTTCAGAGACGCTGTGTTCAACACTGCCATTTCCACCTTTGGCAAGAAGACCAGCAGGTCGGCAGACTGGTTCGAGGCTCACTCGGAAGAGATGACACCTGTCATCGAAGAGAAACGCCTTGGCAGCCTACAAAGCCTATCCCAAGTCAGCGCAACTTACAGATCCTTCGGGCCGTCTGCTGCACAGTGCAGCAGAGCGCCAGGTGATGTGCCAACAACTATTGGCTCCAGCTCTGCTCCCAGATACAGACTGCAGCGGATACAGGCAATGTAAGGGGAATGTATGACGGCATCAAGCAGGCCCTCGGCCCAATCCAGAGGAAGGCCGCTCCTCTGAACTCTGCCACTGGCGAGGTGATTCAGGACCAGACACTGCAGCTGAAGCGCTGGGTCGAGCACTACTCTGAGCTATACGCCAGGGACAATGTGGTCACCGAAGACGCCCTGAGCGCCATTGAGTGCCTGACTGTGTTAATGGAGCTCGACAGCAAACCGACCCTCCAAGAACTCAGCGATGCCCTAGACTCCCTTGCTTCTGGCAAAGTTCCTGGCAAAGATGGCATTCCTGCTGAGACCTTGAAGTGCTGCGGAGGTAGCCTGCTCATGGAGCTGCATGAAATTCTCTGCCTCTGCTGGGAAGAAGGAGAGGTGCCACAGGACATGAGGGATGCCAACATCGTCACGCTGTATAAGAATAAAGGTGACAAGGGCGACTGCAACAACTACCGTGGAATCTCCCTCCTCAGTATTGTCGGAAAGCTGTTTGCTCGAGTCGCACTGAAGAGACTCCAAGTACTTGCAGAGAGAGTCTATCCAGAATCACAATGCGGATTCAGAGCTGACAGGTCCACCATCGACATGGTCTTTTCCCTCAGACAACTGCAGGAGAAATGCAGGGAACAGAAGCAGCCACTCTCCGTAGCCTTTTTAGATCTGACGAAGGCCTTCGACCTCGTCAGCAGGGATGGCCTGTTCAAGATCCTCCCCAAGATCAGATGCCCACCCAGGCTCCTTAGCATCATCAGATCTTTCCATGAGAACATGAGGGGCACCATGGTCTTTGATGGCCTAACATCAGACGCCTTTGACATCCGAAGTGGAGTAAAGCAGGGCTGCATACTGGCTCCAACCCTATTCGGGATTTTCTTCGCAGTTATGCTGCAGTACGCCTTCGGATCTGTCACGGAAGGCATTTACCTCCGGACCAGGTCGGATGGAAAGCTCTTTAACCTTGCCAGGCTGAGAGCCAAGACGAAGGTTCGGCTGAGGTGTCTGCGCGACTTCCTTTTTGCCGACGACGCAGCAGTCACTGCCCACTCAGCCGAAGACCTCCAATGGCTCATGACCCGCTTCAGCGAGGCCTCTCAGGCTTTCGGACTCACCATCAGCCTGAAGAAAACACAAGTCATGGGACAAGGAGTGGACTCCCCACCTGACATCGGCATCTCCGATTCCAAACTGGATCGTGTACCTGGGCTCCACAATCTCTGACTCCCTCTCTCTTGATACGGAGCTAAACAAACGCATCGGTAAGGCATCTACTACCATGTCCAGACTGACAAAGAGAGTGTGGGCCAACAATAGGCTGACTGAGTATACTACGATTCAGGTTTACAGAACCTGTGTCCTGAGCACTCTCCTTTATGGCAGTGAGTCTTGAACACTCCGCGCCCGTCAGGAAAGACAGCTGAATGCCTACCACATGCGCAGCCTTCGACACATCTTGGACATCACCTGGCAGGACAAGGTGACAAACAACAACGTCTTGGGGAGAGCAAGAATCACCAGCATGTACACAATGCTGAAACAGAGACGAATGCGCTGGCTCGGGCACGTTGAGCGAATGGGCGACGGCAGGATCCCGAAGGATCTCCTGTACGGAGAGCTGATGCAGGGAAAGCGTCCAACAGGCAAGCCCCAGCTACGGTACAAAGACGTATGTAAGAGGGACCTGAAAGCCATGGACGTCGATCTTGCTATGTGGGAAACATTGGCTGCAGACCGTTCAGCCTGGGGACAGTCTGTTCAAATGGTCTCTCTCCAAGTTCGAGGAGACACTTGCCAAGGAATCGGAGGCAAAGAGACAGAGAAGGAAAGCCGGTAGCCAGGAAGACACCAGAATCGGACTTCGTTTGTGCTCGTTGTGGGATGGACTGCCACTCTCGGATTGGCCTCATCAGTCACACCAGACGCTGCACCAGGATTGACAACTAGGGCGCAACTCCATAGTCTCCCGAGACTGAAGGATGCTTACTACTACTATTGTTAGGGATCGATGATTAGCATACACTGGTAGGAACCGCGTAATGATTTAGTCTTGTAATTTGAAATAGATGTGACTGTTGGACTAGAGAGGAGACTATTCATCACTGGTAATATATACCGTGTACCTCTGTACATCTATCATGCCGGAGAATGCAGAGATTGGATGAACGACTCGCTGGGGATAGCACAAACCAACGAAGGATGAACGCCGTCAAGGAAAGGTACAAACATCATCAAATTCTAATTTCAACGTTTGTGTACAAGTGCCAGAGGAGCGCTATATATATATTGGCCAGTCGCTGAACAGGAGAGAGTCACTATTCAGTACGAATATGGTGCCTGAAAATTCTATACTCACCCGACAGGTCAATATAAAGGGAGTGAGGACGTTTCGATCCGTCCTGGATCATTTCATAATCCGTCTTGATAATGAATAGTCCAGGACGGTCCGAAACATCGTTCCTCCCTTTGTTATCACGTGTGTGGTTCTAATATTATCAATAGTTTGCATAGATAAATTAAAAAAAAGGTTGCAAATTTGTGTTATATGCAAATTGACTGACCTGGAATGCCCAAAGCAGATCCTGGACGTGCAGGCAATGTGATGTCAGGCATCTTGGAGATATTGGCGAGGTTGGTCATACTGGAGGAGGGCCTGGTCATGGATAGGGGCCCGCCCATCCTGCAGGAGGACGACCCATCTAGGGACGACTGGCGCGACATCTGAGACCTGAACCGGGGCCAGAACGTCCACTGCTCAGTCATTATTACCCCGTTAAACTCTACCGTGTAACTAGTCATTAGAGGAAGATGACTGTAAGCTGACTAAGACATTTACTAATGACAGAAAAATGCTTTTATGTGAATCAAAACAACACGTCAAAGATGATATACAAAAATGCTGAAGATTGTATCGTTATTAGGTTAAGTTGAATTACAATGTAGGTAAATGGGCTTGACAGCAAGATGTATATCTAGATGTTATTATATATATAGATCTTAAGTTTAAAACTAGCAAGGAGAGATTCCTGATATTCCTAATACCAAATGACACTGAGGTTGATCCGTATTCGTGAATACACTAATGTGAGACAACATTCAACCGGTGAGGAACGCATTTTTGGGATAATTGCCCTAAAAAAATAAACTGAATATAGAGCGTCTGCTTCTTTGGGGCTGATGATGTGCAAAGCCTGCCATTAGAGGCGGCACTCTGCTCGACTGGCCATCTGCTCAAGTGGCACTCTTATATAATCCTCAGCATTAACAAATGTTAATGATACTAGGTTACATTGCTACATTTGACGTGTGTGTGTGTTTGTGTGTGTGTGTGTGTGTGTGTGTGTGTGTGTGTGTGTGTGTGTGTGTGTGTGGGTGTTCAGAGCATTATGTGACCTGGAGACGATACCACAAACCAAATACGACAGCCTGAAATAAATTCACTAATTTACCAAAGGAGTTTACAACCAAAAACTTAACCTCGATATTCCAATGCACGTTTTCTCCTCAGGTTATTTAACATCTTAAAGATAAGTCATGCACATTTCTCCTTACGAAGGAACTACCTTTTTTTCGGCATATTAGGTATAAAATCACGATTTTTTTTCCTGAAATTCACATTCAAGAGGCGTCCCAATAGCCCAGTAGATCTAACAATTCCATTAATGCTGTCATGCATATAATTTCAAACAGATAATCTCTACGGTGCAGAAATATTATGATGCGAGACATGAAATGAAGCAAATTGAGCCATTCAACAGCTGGGGTTTTTCTTTTTTCTATTTTTTTTTAATGTGGGTGACTATTATCTCTGTAAAAACTATTTTCTCTGAAAAAAAAAGATGGCAAACTAAAACAAATTTCAGTAATGGTGAAGAGAATAATGCACAGCCTATAAGGAGCATTATGAACGATATCATGAAACTGTATTTCTATTGGATGATGTGTAAAATGAAATCACAATAGCATGAAATATCAGAACAGAAAGGTGCAATTGAATCAACGTGAGACCCCCCTAGACACACGCACATACGTTGACCTGACCACACACTAGAAGGTGAAGGGACGACGACGTTTCGGTCCGTCCTAGACCATTCTCAAGTCGATGAGAATGGTCCTGGACGGACCGAAACGTCGTCGTCCCTTCACCTTCTAGTGTGTGGTCTGGTCAACATGCTTCAGCCACATTATTGTGACTCCTCGCCTGCACACGCACGTACGTTTATGTCCGAAAATAGAATGCCCTTATCTTGAGATCTTGAGGTTATCTTGAGATGATTTCGGGGCTTTAGTGTCCCCGCGGCCCGGTCCTCGACCAGGCCTCCACCCCCAGGAAGCCGCCCGTGACAGCTAACTCCCAGGTACCTATTTACTGCTAGGTAACAGGGGCATTCAGGGTGAAAGAAACTTTGCCCATTTGTTTCTGCCTCGTGCGGGAATCGAACCCGCGCCATAGAATTAAGAGTCCTGCGCGCTATCCACCAGGCTACGAGGCTTAACTGCAATATATTAAATATAGGCATATATTTAGGGAACGTCCTCAAAATAGCAGGTAAAACTTAAGCAAAGAAACAAGCTGTACTGTAAGAAAAAAAACACACACAGTCTCATACTAATGTTACTTTGCCAAACGTATGCTAAAGCTGACGATTTGACAACTACGCTAAAGCAGCAGCAGCAGCAGCAGCAGCAGCAGTAGCAGCAGCCAGCTGCTCAGACAGCTGTACACCCAAGTGTCAGCTTATCAGACGTGGGATCACTTGATTGTTTCAAGCGTAGGCTAGATATGTATATAAATGAGTTTAGGGTGGATATAAAAAGAAGGCCAACAGGTCTTCTGTAGTTTCCTTGAGTCTTAGGTTATTATAACCTCATCTCTCTAAAATGTTCTTCAATAACATCTTGGTTCAAAGCTAATCTTCCTCAGAGCGTCATTAAGAACGCGACACAATAGCCTAATAACCAGCCAAGAAGCATATATTTATTTATTTCAAGGATATTCCTGCACGGGCCCTAAGCCTCTGGCTGACCCACTAAGTCTTACTTGTTTCTTGTCATTGCACGAGTAATTATGACTCGTATAATCGCTTCGGTAAGATTATGGCCAATGTGTTTTAACAACTTCTTCTGCTCTGTTGAATCATTGTTAAAATGTTTTTTGGTTTGTAACTCTGCACTGTGGTGTTAGATAATGTTCCAGTAGTCTGTCGGGCCAGGAAATGTACTTTAGTCCTTAACTAAACCCTCAATGTATATATAAAGAGAAGCGTGTATACTTTATATATATATATATATATATATATATATATATATATATATATATATATATATATATATATATATATATATATAATTCATTGTACTGGTATATCTCCGTCTCGGTTTTTTTGGTGCTCATCAAGTGATCATCACTTCACCACAGATGGTTATGTATTTTGGGATCGACTTATATCACCTATATGAGCTAAAACTATGAAACTCGGACTCTAAATTTGGCGGTCGTCTATGCTGAAAGTCGCCTTATCCGCATATATATATATGTCGTACCTAGTAGCCAGAACGCACTTGTCAGCCTACTATGCAAGGCCCGATTTGCCTAATAAGCCAAGTTTTCCTGAAATAATATATTTTCTCTATTTTTTTTCTTATTAAATGATAAAGCTACCCATTTCATAATGTATGAGGTCAATTTTTTTTTATTGGAGTTAAAATTAACGTAGATATATGACCAAACCTAACCAACCCTACCTAACCTAACCTAACCTATCTTAATAGATTAGGTTAGGTAAGGTAGCTGAAAAAGTTAGGTTAGGTTAGGTTAGGTAGGTTAGGTAGTCGAAAAACAATTAATTCATGAAAACTTGGATTATTAGGCAAATCGGGCCTTGCATAGTAGGCTGAGAAGTGCGTTCTGGCTACTAGGTACGACATATATATATATATATATATATATATATATATATATATATATATATATATATATATATATATATATATATATATATATATATATATATATATATATATATATAAATATGCATTAGTATGCACAAACGAAGATGAAACGATAATTCCGAACGTTTTCTGGTTTCAACACATTTTCAGGGAATACAGAGAGAAAGAGAGAAATAGAATAATTGATGAAGTTTAAGACACCCAAGAGATGGCACGGGCATGAATAGCCCGTAAGAGAAATAGACATGAGTTTGGGGTTTCGCAACCACCCTTACACCTGGATAGATTAAGATATTATGCGGTATTATGTTTATGGAACTTAATCTACCCAGGTGTAGGGGAGGGGGGGTTGATGAATCACAAACTCGTATCTATTTCTCTTACGGGCTATACATTCCCTTGCCACGTATATATGTATACCTGACACAGGAATTCATTATTAATTCACGGAATTAATAATGAATAACGCGAATGATTACTCATTCCCGTGCCACTTAATATATATATATAAATATATATTAAGCTTATACACAAAAATGAGATGAGATTTAGGATGAAAAGTACAATCATATTCCAGTGTAAAATAAGATTTTTTGACTCGTGGAATAGCCAAAGGCACAGCTTAAAATATACACACTGCATGCTAGACACAGAACTTACAACTCAAACCCCCAATCAATTGCTTGAAAAACACACAAATCATTCCTTACATGTTGTTTGTCGGTATACAAAGATCTAATAAGCAACTTATTACCTGATACTTACGCTGAGGAAAACAACAGGATAGATAAGAGTATGCTGATGGGTACTTACGAACTGTAAATGGAAAGATAGAGGTTTGCAAGGGAAGTTTATATACGGTTGGGTATACATAAACAAAACAAAAATGGTGAGACTTAGATGGCTAAGATTACGCGTCAACACTCTCCGTAGTTAGGCCCCGAGACGTTTAAGGATGGTTTAGATGTTTGATCTCCCAAATCTCCCCCTGCGAACACAACACGTCACCACAACGCGTATTGTTCGTTGTAGTTACGTTATATGTTTACTAGGAACTGAACTTTGCTACTAAGATCTGTCTCAGTGGACGCAATATTCCAAGAGTGGCGTTGGTTCCATGTTCAATGAACGTTATCAACGTTGACGACGTTTATTAGACGTAGAATCACCGTTGTCAACCTTGACGACGTTGATTAGACGTAGAATCACCGTTGTCAACCTTGACGACGTTGATTAGACGTAGAATCACCGTTGTTAACCTTGACGACGTTGATTAGACGTAGAATCACCGTTGTCAACCTTGACGACGTTGATTGGTCCTTGACTTACGTTTGTTCTTGGATATTGTGCCACGAGGATCTGTTGACCAAGCCACACACTAGAAAGTGAAGGGACGACGACGTTTCGGTCCGTCCAGGACAATTCTCACAATCGACTTAAGAATGGTCCAGGACGGACCTAAACGTCGTCGTCCCTTCACATTCTAGTGTGTGGCTTGGTCAACATATTTCAGCCACATTATTGTGACTCCTCGTCTGCACCAAGATCTCTCTCGCTGTCTCACTCCGTCCGGTAACAGATAAGACTGGACTAGAATAATATCAAAATCTTGGCACATAAAGTCCAACCTGTCCTCTTAAAAAGAACGTCGCTTTTGGCCGTTTAACCGTATGGCCGAATATGGACGTAATTTGAAAATTAAAATAAATTGAAAATAAATTTGGGATTTTTTTTTCAACAACAGTAAGTTAAGGGTCTTCTGATAGGTTAGGTTGGCAGGAAATTCTCATAAAGTTTCAAAACGTTATGAAAAACGTAAATTGAAAGTTCCTCTTCTAAGTTGTCCGCGGAGGGCCGGACGACTCAAACAGAAAACGGAACAGTACGTCACGTTTGTGAGTCGATTTCATTTTAAATTACGTCCACATTTGGCCATAGTGCGCATACCAGCCAAAAGTGACGTTATTTTTAAGAGGACGGGTTGTAAGACTAGCCAGCTTGACGCGCCCAGCAAACCCACAATGTTGCTACAAAAGTTGCTGTTTTTTTGTACTATTTTTACGTTGTTGTAACGTTATAATTCTTTGGCTTAGACTGGTCGGTACAGTCACGCCCTTTGTTGTTTACAGGGTCGGGGTTCGATCCCCGATACACCAAGTACTTGGGTACCGTTCCTTCCCTCCGTCATTATATCCCAGCTCCTTCCCCACGTATCCCTGGCAACTGCTATATATAGTCATACTGACTGAGTGCTTTCTCAAAATTACCTTACCTTACTTAGCTTTTAGTCTATCTCGTATCCAGTCTAAGTGATAGATAGTCATACTGACATCGCTTTCTCCTGATAATTACAACACTGTAGCCCCTGTAATAACCTTGTTACGATATTGTTGTTAGGCCGGGTGTTTGCTGGGCTGCTATCCATCCACGACTCAGGCAGGTGGTAAAGATTGCTTGATACAAATTAAAAGCCCCCGAAGAGGTGGCACGGGCATGAATAACCCGTAAGAGGCAGGTGAAGTTTGACGCGTAAGAAATATTGGCTACGTGAGGATTCTACACTGGGGCCCACAAGGAGGCGTGAGAAGTGTGAGAGGACGAAGAGAGAGAGAAGGGGGAAGAGGCATCACAGAGAGCTTGTGCAAAACAACCACTGACATTAGGTATACAAGCAAGGCATAACTGAAAGAACGCTCCACATTGAGGTACCATACAATGTTCATATGCAGATGCGAAAATACTTGCAAAATGCTCTCTTTCACACTCGCAAAAATATGTATATGTTTACACAATGAAATCCCATTAGTATGAGTTCAGTTCCACCACATTGCTCCAAAACTATTATGTATATGTATGATACTCATAAAAATTGCGCAGGATGAATAATTATAATAATAAACCATGCAACGAAATGAAAAAATATGTCTTGAATTCTTTCATGAATTAATTATATGGTTCTAGTGTACCTCATCTGGATACTACAAAAACCGGAATATTAAGGGCTTAGGGGCAAGAGACCAAGAGCTGGAGCTCAGTTCCTGCAACTAGATGAGCACAAACGCAAAACAGACAGCACACACACAGACACAAGCTCACACACACACTGTACCAATCATATCAGACTTTTTCCAAGTATGCGTTCTAGTATTTCCTCTGCTTTCTTTGTAACTCAATCAGCATTAGTATTTCATACCTTTAGGCGTTCCCTTTACGGGCAAACTCACTTGGTCTGGACAAAATATTGCAGTCAATGGCTAGATTTACGATCCTGATTTGAATCGATCAATGGCTAGATTTACGATCGTGATTTGGATCGATCAATGGCTAGATTTACGATCCTGATTTGGATCGATCAATGGTTGGATTTACGATCCCGATTTGGATCGATCAATGGTTGGATTTACGATCCCGATTTGGATCGATCAATGGCTAGATTTACGATCTTCCTCAGTGATGTGGATGATTCTATGAAGATTTAATAAGCCATCTCTGGATCAGGGAACAGCACTATCAAAGCCAGAGAAGATCAGGTTTTGTTTATGATTCTCTTCTCTTTGCCCTGAGAATGCTATGGTCAGCAAGGTCGTCGAGGCCTTAGTCGACGTTAGGCAAAAGATCTCAATCATAGAATGTGGAATACAGACAAACTGGTCGCTTGTATTCTCCATCTCGATCGACTGGATGAACAGCGTGAGTTTTGAACAAAATTCTAACTAGAACAATATTCAAGTTTGCTGGTCATCAGATGTCTTGATCGTTGTTGGATTCTATATCAGATCTCGTATATAAGACTGTAAGATTTCTTACATAATTGTTACTTCTTAACACGGTAAATTCACGTTTCTTCTCCTTGATTTTGCCTGTCTAGCTGTCTAATGCAATAACTCCTAACCCGTCTATTTTGTCATAGTTGTTATACCTGATATTTCCTTTTATTTCTGACTTGCACATGCGCTCTTCACCTTAACTAAAGGTGTCCTTCCTGACACCCTTCTGGGTCATCTTCCTGTCACTTTTTGTGATTCATCTTCCTCTCACACTAGTGACTCATCTTCCTCTCACCTTAGTGATTCATCTTCCTCTCACACTAGTGACTCATCTTCCTCTCACCTTAGTGATTCATCTTCCTCTCACCCTAGTGATTCATCTTCCTCTCACCCTAGTGATTCATCTTCCTCTCACCCTAGTGACTCATCTTCCTCTCACCCTAGTGATTCACCTTCCTCTCACCCTAGTGACTCACCTTCCTCTCACCCTAGTGACTCATCTTCCTCTCACCCTAGTGACTCATCTTCCTCTCACCCTAGTGACTCATCTTCCTCTCACCCTAGTTACTCATCTTCCTCTCACCCTAGTGACTCATCTTCCTCTCACCCTAGTGACTCATCTTCCTCTCACCCTAGTGATTCATCTTCCTCTCACACTAGTGACTCACCTTCCTCTCACCCTAGTGACTCACCTTCCTCTCACCCTAGTGACTCACCTTCCTCTCACCCTAGTGACTCATCTTCCTCTCACCCTAGTGACTCACCTTCCTCTCACCCTAGTGACTCACCTTCCTCTCACCCTAGTGACTCATCTTCCTCTCACCCTAGTGACTCACCTTCCTCTCACCCTAGTGATTCATCTTCGCGTTCATGTGGCACCTGAGTCCTCATGTTGTGTGAGTGATCAACCTATAGATTACGTGAAGCAGCGCCATTGTCTCCACCCAATGTAGCAGCGTTCTTTCAGTTGCGGATTTGACAACAAACGGGTGTTATTGGTTATGTGTAGACGGCTTTAATAGTACCCCCTGGCCGAACGCGTTTGTCCATTACGGCTTTAAGGCATCAAACGTTGTCTACCTCTTCCTCCTACCTGACTCTGTCCTTGGCGTTGTATCCGAACGCGTTCTTTTTATGCGAAGGAAGAGGCGCGGCCTCCTGATCCGGCGGCAGGAGGGGAAGCTTGCGACGGATTCTCAAGCTCTTCTGACTGTCTGTTTCGCTCATGGTGTCCGAGGAGTCGTCTCGGAGGCCTCTGGGTGTTCCGGCCGGAGTGCTCGGCGTGCCGGTCAGCATGGCCAGCGTGGCGTTGACGCCGGCCAGGCTGTACTCTTCTGGTGACGCCAGCTGGTCCGTCGATGACCGCAGACGCGCCCTGCGGCAGAGAAAGGAGGATAAGGAGAGCTTTGCCCCGGTGTAAGGTAATGACAGCCGGCTGACTGTACTATGATATTTGATATAGTAAAGGTGAACCTCTCTGTCTCTGTCTCTCTCTCACTCTCTCTCTGTCTCTCTCTTTCTCTCTCTGTGTGTCTCTCTCTCTGTCTCTCTCTCTCTCTCTCTCTGTCTCTCTCTCTCTCTCTCTCTCTGTCTCTCTCTCTCTCTCTCTCTCTCTCTCTCTCTCTCTCTGTGTCACTCTCTCTCTCTCTCTCTCTCTCTCTCTCTCTCTCTCTCTCCTCTCTCTCTCTCCTCTCTCTCTCTCCTCTCTCTCTCTCTCTCTCTCTCTCTCTCTCTCTCTCTCTCTCTCTCTCTCTCTCTCTCTCTCTCTCTCTCTCTCTCTCTCTCTCTCTCTCTCTCTCTCTCTTTCTCTCTCTCTCTCCTCTCTCTCTCTCTCTCTCTCTCTCTCTCTCTCTCTCTCTCTCTCTCTCTCTCTCTCTCTCTCTCTCTCTCTCTCTCTCTCTCTCTCTCTCTCTCTCTCTCTCTCTCTCTCTCTCTCTCTCTCTCTCTCTCTCTCTCTCTCTCTTTATGCTTGTTAGGGTCATGGTGTTATGTGTTGCATTAGGTTATCGAAAATGGTGATATTTAGACTGAAAAAACGTTAATTGTATTTCCAGTTGTGAAAGACTAACGACTGAGCTTGGGTCAATTTAACAGCTCTTTTGGAAGTGAACTATTTTATGGGTCGTGAGCTACCCCTATGGGTTGTGAATCACTCTATGGGTCGTGAGCAACCCCTATGGGTTGTGAATCACTCTATGGGTCGTGAGCAACCCCTATGGGTTGTGAATCACTCTATGGGTCGTGAGCTACCCCTATGGGTTGTGAATCACTCTATGGGTCGTGAGCAATCCCTATGGGTTGTGAATCACTCTATGGGTCGTGAGCAATCCCTATGGGTTGTGAATCACTCTATGGGTCGTGAGCAACCCCTATGGGTTGTGAATCACTCTATGGGTCGTGAGCAATCCCTATGGGTTGTGAATCACTCTATGGGTCGTGAGCAATCCCTATGGGTTGTGAATCACTCTATGGGTCGTGAGCAACCCCTATGGGTTGTGAATCACTCTATGGGTCGTGAGCAACCCCTATGGGTTGTGAATCACTCTATGGGTCGTGAGCTACCCCTATGGGTTGTGAATCACTCTATGGGTCGTGAGCAATCCCTATGGGTTGTGAATCACTCTATGGGTCGTGAGCTACCCCTATGGGTTGTGAATCACTCTATGGGTCGTGAGCTACCCCTATGGGTTGTGAATCACTCTATGGGTCGTGAGCTACCCCTATGGGTTGTGAATCACTCTATGGGTCGTGAGCTACCCCTATGGGTTGTGAATCACTCTATGGGTCGTGAGCAACCCCTATGGGTTGTGAATCACTCTATGGGTAGTGAGCTACTCTATATGTCGTGAGCCTCTCTATGTGTTGTAGATACTCTATAGGTTTTCGCTGCATATACCTGTCCAAGTGAGTGTGCAGTATTTTTGCACCCACAGCATGGTGTATCAGGCCCATGGTATATCTACTATATGCCGCACCTAGCCATATCTTAACATGTGTAACTATGGTATATCTATCAGGATATTCGCCACCATCTCACTAAGCCAATACATTTATTTCCGTGAGATACCATTAAAATATCTAATTAGGCTTTAATCATTTATGATAAAATTGCAACGTCTATTTTGAGTAGATGTGTGTGTGTGTGTAATTACTGAAGTGTAATTACCTAAGTGTAGTTACAGGATGAGAGCTACGCTCGTGGTGTTCCGTCTTCCCAGCACTCTTTGTCGTATACCACTTTGAAACTACTGACGGTTTTGGCCTCCACCACCTTCTCGCTTGTGTTGTTCCAACCGTATACCACTTTGTTTGCATAAGAAAAGAGGTTGTGCGTTTGTGTGTGTGTGTGCCTATACACCCCTATTTGTACTCAGCTATTTGTGCCTCCAGGATCGAGTTCAAGCTTTTGGACCCCGCTTTTCTAGTCGTTGGTTGTCTAACGCAGTTACTCCTGGCCTATTTGCCTATTATGTCTGTTTTTAATGTTATGAATGGAGTTAGCCTCTACAACCTGCTCCATTAGGTCATTCCATTTACTCACTACCCTCACGCTAAAAGAAAAACTTTCTAACATCTTTATGACACATCTGAGTCTTAAGATTTCATACGTGTCCCCCTTGTTCTGTCGTTATTCGTTGTAAACATGTCCTCGGTTTGCACTTTCTTCCTCCTCCTCTCCTTTCCTCCACTTCCTCTTTCTTTGTACTCACCTAGTTGTGCTTGCGGGGGTTGAGCTCCGACTCTTTGGTCCCGCCTCTCAACTGTCAATCAACTGATGTACAGATTCCTGAGCTTATTGCGCTCTATCATATCTACACTTGAAACTGTGTATGGAGTCAGCCTCCACCACATCACTGCCTAATGTATTTCATTTGTCAACTACTCTGACACTAAAAAAATTCTTTGTAATGTCTCTATGGCTCATTTGGGCACTCAATTTTCACCTGTGTCCGCTAGTGCGTGTGCCCCTTGTGTTAAATAGTCTGTGTTTATCTACCCTATCTATTCCTTTGAGAGTCTTCTATGTGGTGATTATGTTCCCTCTAACTTTTCTGTCTTCCAGCGACGTGAAGTTTAATTCTCATAGTCTCTCCTCGTAGCTCATACCTATCAGTTCGGGTACTAGTCTCTTGGTAAACCTTTGATTGAAATGAAGTCTGGTGGCAAACCTTTTTGTGTGTGTGTGTGTGTGTGTACTCACCTAGTTGCACTCACCTAGTTGTGCTTGCGGAGGTTGAGCTCTGGCTCTTTGATCCCGTCTCTCAACCGTCAATCAACAGGTATACAGGTTCCTGAGCCTATTGGGCTCTATCATATCTACACTTAAAACTGTGTATGGAGTCAGCCTCCACCACATTACTTCCTAATGCATTCCATGTGTGTGTGTGTGTGTGTGTGTGTGTGTGTGTGTGTGTGTGTGTGTGTGTGTGTGTGTGTGTGTACTCACCTAGTTGTACTCACCTAGTTGTGCTTGCGGAGGTTGAGCTCTGGCTCTTTGATCCCGTCTCTCAACCGTCAATCAACAGGTATACAGGTTCCTGAGCCTATTGGGCTCTATCATATCTACACTTAAAACTGTGTATGGAGTAAGCCTCCACCACATTACTTCCTAATGCATTCCATGTGTGTGTGTGTGTGTGTGTGTGTGTGTGTGTGTGTGTGTGTGTGTGTGTGTGTGTCCAAGCGACTGCCATTGCATAAACACTTCACCATTCACCCTCCCGTCCCATACTTCATGCAGCAAGCCGCTCACACGGTTAAGTCACCATAAACAGCAAACAGCTATGCAGGAAAGTCACCAGCATAGCTTGAGCATACCAAACATCTATCAGCAGTATCTCTAACCCAGACATCAACGTAACTGCCTGCCAGTACTGAAACTAATAGACTTAAAAAATTACTAAAATATATATATATATATATATATATATATATATATATAATATATATATATATATATATATATATATATATATAATATTGCTAAATACTAATATGCAAGAAGTCAGTCCCAATGGAACGTGGGACTTTTGAGAGGAAAAAATACTATATAAATATTATAAAATTTAAGAATATAGTCTGCATAACATCTAAGATATTTACATGAACAAAAGTAATGTGTAGCTAGTGGTATGAGATGCATGCGACCTGAGTATCCTGATTTGATTCTACTTTAACAAGCATTATGTATACAGCAGGATTTCTGTTAATCCAAGATGGATATAAAATCTCCCTTTTTTTTTTGTAATCCAAGGCAAAAATTAGTTACTCATGCTGCTAGCACATGCATTAACATCCTTAAAAAAAAACATAAAACTGATTGAGTAATGTATATAGGCAATTATTTTTGTTCTAGCATTGCGCGAGGAGCGACAAATTATAATTAATAACAAAAATAATTTTTTTTCTAAAACGTGACGAAATCTGAGATACAGAAATGTGCTAACTACTTACCCAACATCCTGCCTGCCTACGGACCTTGTGTTGCTAGCGATAGGATCGATGATTAGCATATTGTTGCAACGGTTTGTGTTCTCCCTAAAATATTCACACGGAGATGATATATGAATCTATTCATCCACGGTTATAATCCTTCATCATTTGAACGAAACGGAAACGGATCAACCTCACTGGCTTCTCAACAAACACACACACAACCTAACCACAACCTAAATACAACGAAATACGTTGCTTCGACGTTGTGATTACGTCGCGCGTTTTGTTGGGATTGGTGCATAAGGGTCATATGTGTAAACAGAGAAAGAGAATGATCGCCTGTGTGGAGGGAAGGTTTTGTTTACCTCTGCAGTGAGGAGAGCGGCGACTCCGAGGTGGATATGGGCTGGCCGGGCATGATTAGCATGCGGGGCTTCGTGTCACTGGTCGCTATGGTAGACTGCTGCAGGAGGGCAGCGGTGGGCAGGCTGGTGGCCACCCGCCCGACGAATTTGTTGGCCATGTGTTGCTGCTGCTGCTGCTGCTGCTGCTGCTGCAGGTTCTGCAACTGCTGCAGTCCGCTCACGGTCGCCGCCGTCACGTCTTTTCTGATTGGAGTCGGAGATAACTTTCCTTGAGACATCAGCTGCTGCTGCAATGCTGCAGCTTGGTCCTGCCGTCGCATTTTCTTTAAATGCTGGGCTTGGTGTTGCAGTTGCA